CTCTAAAACCAACGCTCCATTAAACCTTCACTTTTCGCATCTCTTGCCTCTTTTTTTACATGGCTGTTCTACAGACACGCCCCCAGTCAACCTGAATTACTGTGGACGTGCGCACTGACGTTAGCTTGTCATATTTCTTTCTTCTGAACCCATTTTAACCTGGAGCACAACGCTTGAACGCGCACAGCTCTCTTTCAATTAGCTTTGCTTCGTCACCCGCACATCGAGCACACGCTGCCGCTGTCCAGGTGCCTGTCGGCAGAAACGTCTAAATCTGTGAAAGACAACCTCCTGCAATTTTGTGACCTCACCCGCATAAACGCACAACCAGATTATACTTCAATTCACTCTGAGGCTGGGAAAAAAAAATAATCAGGTGAGCTCAGTGAAAAGGCAATAACTTAAGGTAATAACCTGTTGTCAAGTATCGGCTGTGGTTCAGTCAAAGGTGGTTGGTTCCACGGAGGCAATGAAAAGAGGTATTTTGAGTGCGCCACTGATTTAATAAACTTTTTTTTTTTAAATAGAGTTCACCAATGCTTTACACCTTAAAGCTAGCTGTGCAGCCATTAAATGGGAAGAAAAGTTACAAAAGTAGATTCCCTCTGTTAGAATGCTCAACACATTAATTAGTGGAGATGGGGAAATAAATAAAACTAGGCCTATTACATAATCAGAGAGAGAACATGAGAGCAAGAGGAAAAACATTTTAGCAGGGCAGTGTGGGAGTGGGATTAGGAAAAGCAGTGCTATGGAGGGCTGTACCCAAATACCTGCCAAATAAAGATATGCTATAGACAGTGAAAGGACTGCAGTTCAAACCTTGTTCTCTGTCTGCAAAGGTCTTGTTTTTATTTTAAGTCTGTAAAAAGCCAATTTCTATTATTACTACTGCCCATTTTAAGGAGATTTTTCAGTGACATCATTTAATTTCCATTGTGTAATGGTTAGCGCTTGCCATAGCTCTGGTTTTGCCTGTCGTTGTGATGCTAACAGGTAATAGCGTACAAGTGCATTTGTCTCTATTTTAGGTGTTTGAACACTACAGAACCATGACTGAGGAGAGGTTTTACAGCAACATTTATAGCATTGGTTTAGTATGATTAAAAAAATTGTCAAAAGTAATGATAAACAATTTAATATTTATATTTTTTGCTAAGTATTATGTTTGCTGTGGCCATATTGGAGGGCTACTAGGAAAGCTTTCCTACTTTCCAAATTTTGGCGATGATTGCTGATGTTTTTCTTGATTCAAACTCAGGTCGAAGGTCAGGAAGGACAAAGGATGAATAAATCCAGGTAATTAAATCGGTTTACAACTTACAGGCAAACAAAACAGCACTTTATGCCTAGAACTGTAACATGCACTCTAACTTAGTCAGAAATTTGAATTTAAAGTTGACCAACTTTATTGCTTCTCATGCTTCAACAAATAAAAAGTACAATACTTTAAAAACAAGATGATGTTAAATAAATAAACACAATGTGAATGAAGACTGTAGCATCAAAACCACAGAGGTAAAACTTAAAGATATCAAGAATCATTCAGATCAGAACATCTTCTGAGTTCCTACTAATCGTGTGTGGGCAAAGCCTACCAACAGAGTTGGTTTTCCAAAATGCTCTGACAGCCTTCGTAAAATGCTGTTTTATTTATCTTTACTCTGCTTTAATCCAAGCCCATGTGAAATAACTGCGACCTGACCTCAACATAACCCACTCAAACACATATTGAAGGAGCTCGTCCAGAGAGGGTGAAGCCACAGTTTT